CACTTCCAAGAGTAATTATATTGTAATCGTGTAATAAATGACGTTTGTTTTTCAGATTTCAGCTTCCTTTAACGGCTATTTTTAAACATCCGAACATGTTTCCTAACTTTGTTATCTGGTGCAACCCATTTATAATGTCTAAAAATGACCATCTCGACTCATCCATTTTCTCCTCATTTAATAAACAAGAAATACGCGTTTTCTAAACAAGTTTCCGTATTTAGAAAGTAAAAAAAAAAAGTTAATGTCTAAATTTCATAACTTCAATGCAATATAAATTGGACCTTTTTCCCTAGAAAATTTGGGAAAATGAAGCATAATCTGAGAATTTTCTACACTTGGTTGGATGTGGCATGGCACATATACACATGGAATGGCAAGGGGTTTGTGTGACACCCGGAAGGACTTTCTATCAAAAAACTGGCCTTTATTTAGGTAAAGAAACTCCAGGAAACTCCACGTCAGGCACAAACTCCTGATAGTCCCTGTATTTTCTAGAGAACTAGAGAAAAATCAAGCATAATTTATAATTTGATTCACACAGAAGAAGAATAAACAAGATTTGGCAATGAACTAGCGTTTTTTAAAGGATTTAAAAAGAAAGAACAACATAATTTTCGTTGCTACTCTTTCCGGAAATTTTCTAGAAAAAATGATTCTTGTTTACTGAGATCATATTACGAGTGGGTTGAGCTATCAATGTCTTCTCTTCAATATCAAAACAAACTCTTAGCATTAATTATTTTTATGGTGTAAATTTAGAAGAGTTTAGAAAATTCCTAGAAACGTAAAAATTACATAGATCTTACACAAAAATAAATGTATCAAATGATAACCATTCCCGCTAATATTGGAATTCTATCCGTAAACCGAACTAACAATTTACAAAGAATTCTGTAAAATCAATGGAGTTCTTCATTACTGACTCATTGCTACTGTTACAGAGATTTTGGCTTCCTGTAAACCAGCGCTGTCCAACTTATCATAGTCCGCGGGCCATATTTTCTTCACCAAACATTTCGGGGGCCAAGAAGGTTGATAAACCACACGACATTTGCATAGTGCTACGGTTCAGTAAGCACTAATTGGTCAGCGAGTCCGATGTTGACGCTATAAAAGGGCGACAGTTCGACCCACCAAATATACGTCACTCTCGTCTAAGTTCGACTTGGGAATTTTTTTGTTCAATAATAAATGTGAATTCTTCTTCCTGGAAAAAATAAGACATTCCCTGAAAATAAGACCTAGCGCATTTTTCAGAGCAAAAATTAATATAAGGCACTGTCTTATTTTCGGGTAAACACGGTAGTAAAATAATTTTAATATTAATAATAATAATTTAGTAACATAAATTTATTCATAGTAAAATGTACTCGCGGGCCGTAAAAATTATTTGGCGGGCCGTATACGGCCCGCGGGCCGCCAGTTGGACAGCGCTGCTGTAAACGATTACTCTTTATTCTACGGATCATCTTATTGGCCAGTTTACATATAAATTTAGGGCCTCGCATTAAGAGGGCCTTTATAATTTTAAATGTATTTAATGGATGGTAAAGGCCTGTTACATATATTATAGCTTAGGCCAAAACTCTTATATGGCCATGACTACAAAAATATCAAAGTTTTCATCTTCCTTTAGCAAAATTTTATGGAACTTTAATATAGAGATATTTAAATTTACTCAAACAATTATTTTTTCAATTCTTTCACGATTGATGCACCGCCCATCAGTGGCAAAGTGGATAAAACCACTAAAAACTGGACGGTTCGACCTGGAAAACGTCTGGTCACGAGGAGTTTCCCGAGTGTTCTTCACTTTAAACAGTTCCTATAGAAAATTCCCTTGGCAGATCGCCCACGTGTCGCGTTACCGCATCTCACCAAACCATCAAATTACAGGGCGCGTTGAATGGTAGAAGGACTTTAATACAGCTGGATAAGTAAACCAATAGTATAGCCCGTTTCATTAATTTGTTCATCCGACTGCATTAAAACGGCTCTACCAGGCAATGCACCAATTGATAAGTTACTTCTTACCTTTGCCGAAATTATTCCTTATTTCGTTTGTTCAATGATAAGAAAATTGTTACATTTTTAAATGACTCAGAGAATAGTTAAGCGATTAGAATTTAAAATATTTTAATTCTAATCCCGATAAAAATGTACGAATAAGTCAATAATTTACTATAGTTTATACCTTATGTCTGGTACACCGGTACGTGTGTGTGCTCGGCTTTAGGATGTTCGATGTAAATATGCAAATTCTTAAGAATTTCTGTTATTTTAATTCGTTTTCATTATCTTTTGTCAATATTTACAATACAATATTACAGAAAATACAATATTAATATTAACGATTCTCTATTTTTCTAAGGTTAGCCTAATTTTCATTTTGAAAAAAAATATTTTTTCATATTTTCACACGAAACGTTTAATTTAGAAGTAAAATATTTTTATATTCTTTATTCAAATGCGGTTAACCGCTTTTGGGACAACCTATATTTTAAAAAAGAAAATAGATTGTTATATTTTACACAAGCTAACCCGAAAGTCGATTAACCGTCGTTTAAACAGATTACATTTAAATAATTTATATTATAAATATAAATATTTATTTGAAATTAGAAGAAACAGAGATGAGATAAACAATAAAGTAAACATGGAGACAATGTAGTGGGCAATCGAGCGAAACGTTGGTGGCACGTTTCGCGGGAAGTCGATCATTAATCAACTTCACTTTAAACATGACTAAAAATCTGGCAAAAATCAAATATTATATTGTATACAATTGTTATTCTCCGTAATAATTATATATTTATTTCGTAGTCAAGTCATTAGTTACACGCTGTCGACTTCGTATGTAACGCATGTAATCACTATTATATAATACACATGACTCCACGTGAAATATATTCCAATTGTCAAATTATAGAAAGGCATTTGATACATTGTATGAAGCATTCGATTAATTTATTGATATTTTTAACATTATTGTAAAGTGCTGTAACGGTTCCAAACTTAGTTTTTTGCACGAACCCACTCAAAACGCGAGATTTTGAGCCTCGGATACTCGCAAACATAATGTTTATCATACTTGGAATTTCGTTCTAGCTGTATTTTTAGCTGCCTTATATAAATTACGCGAGGCCTCACCAGTCCATTCGGGGGCGTACTTGGGCACCCCTCCATGGCACCGGCCTGAGATTTCGCATGCATGGAGGCCCTATTAAAGTAAATTTGAACCAAAAGTTGACAAAAAATACACGAATGTTACTATATCAGTGTCTTGAAACCATACTTAAAGTGCAAGAAGAAATTTCAACCACCTTTAAGACCGCAGTAACTACTGGGCATACCCTTCTAGGACCGAGAGAATCGCCTTGTTAGTGCCTCATCTCACTGAGTCAGGTTGTAATTGAGTCAGGTTGTAATTGTTGCAGTTCGTTGTGAAAGGTTCGTTCACGTGTCAATTGTTTACATTAGCAATATTGTAAGAGAGGAAGAAAAAAGTTCACTAAAACGTGAGAAAACCTTGCACGATGTCGCTTACTAATGCTCTTTCATTAATCTACTGTTACATTGCTTTAATTTTCATCAAATTATTTATTCTTCATATTAATAAATAATTTTGAGTGTAAGCTTACGTGTCTTCTATCGTTACGTCAGTACTCAATTAGTTACAAGCTATTCCATTAAATTTTTTATGAACTGAGGGGGAAAAATAGCTTTAGTTCTTGTCGAATTGTATTATTTAGAATACATAAGACAATTTTTAACATATGAGGCCTCGAAAAGTTAAGTGAGTACGATTAGAGTCTAATTGAGATTTCTAATTTTAAATTAATGAAATTGGGGGTCATTTTTTGACCGATTGTCATACTTTCCCTCTGTCATATATAACAGCCGGAAAAGTAAAAATTAATTATGTTTACCCAAAGAAACAATTAAGTAGACGGAAAAATTAATGTATTTCTCACAAACATGACTCATGTGTTCATTGACAGTTTTAGTCATAGAAAATCTAGGATTTCGCTTAGGGCCTCTCACTTTTAGGAGCTTCGGTCACGTACAAATATACACTTATCGATAATTGATCTGTTCCATTACTCGGAATCCTGTGTTGGGTAAGATCATAGACCTTGTACCATATCATGGCTTGCTTAGGGCTACGAAACCTAGAATCGACACTATGTTAATTACATATTCTACAAGAAATATTCCTTTTTTTATAACTGTACTGATAAATAAATAAAAATTACATTAAAACTTTTCATTATTTACATGGGAATTAGGGTTGGGTTGAATTCATAGGATAAGGCAACGCGCGAGAAATATGCCAGGAGTGCCTCCCGAGAACTTTCTCTAGGAAACTGGCCCCTATTTAGGTGTCACACACCTGAAAAAACCCGAAAATTCTCGCGTGGCCAGCCTCAAACCCACTAGTGTTGGGTGGTTATATCCACTCGGCCACTTGTGGGCTACATAGAGGATGCATGGATCATTGAAAATATGTAGTGGCATTCTCAGAATACCCAAGCATAACACAAATACGACAGCATTGATATTTAATAACAAGCGCGGAACAGTTGAAAGTCACTTAGAGCCACAGCAGAAAAGTCATCAACATCGATCACAATCAATCAATTACTCCTCGATTAAAAAGTACCATGTGAAACTCAACACATCAGCACATTCAGGAACAGTAGAGACAGGTCAGCGGGGTCGTTTATCACGAACCTGAAATTTAGAGGGCCTTAAAAAGGGTGGAAATCTTTATTTTTCAAATGTTATTTACAGTATACATCTACAGGGCCTTGTATGAAGAGTAAGGAAGCAATGTCGCGGGTTCGGATCTCACTTAAATATTTTTAAAAATATTATTATTTATTGAGCCAATTACTCTGCCTTTATTGGTGACAAGTTAATAAAAATAAAACAATAAACACAATTTTTAAAATAAATATTTTATTCGATGAAATTGTATCATCATCATATCTCGAATTTTAATTATAAAAATCAAAATAAATTATGGTAAAAATCTAGGATTTTATTGGATCCAGTTTAAATAATGTGAAACGTTAGTATAAACGATTGGAATATTCTGAAGATCGCAAGGTGCTGCAAAGGTTTGAATCCCGACGACAAACCACCTTCCTCCATCTTCTAACATTAACAAACCTCCAGAATTATTCTAAATTAAAAATAAAAAAAAAAAAAAATTATTTATTCAAGTGAAAAACGAAATTTTTAAGTTGGCATAATAAATAAAATGAAAGAAATGAATAAACGGTGGCTCATTATATCGTTGACAAAAAAAAAAGCATTTGCTGATGGCCAAAAATGGATTTCATGCTGTCTCTACTTTATGTCTCCTGGAAGTGCCTGGCACACATTGTTAACCACCTCATCAACGCCCTGTGGACACTTAAGAGGGCCTTTTTCTTTTTCTTTTTTGCAAGCCCGTTATGGATTCGACTGGGGCCCGACATATATGGCATTCGTAAGATGTGTCATGGAACGGGCTCTCAGAATTACTTTCCTCTAGGGCTTCCTGGAGATCCGTGACTGCCACTGTTAACTTGGCTCAACTTTCTACAAGTTCTATATAAAGTTGGCCATTCATTTCTCTTCTATAGAAAGAAATCTTGAAATTTTTAATTAAAAAATTACCTTGCAAGTATCTGTATCTGGATATAACGAGTAAGTACATATAGATTCTTCCTTAATTCCAGAAGGAAAAGGGCTAACGATAAATTTCGAGTAATCTTTTTCGCAAACTTCCACGTCTGCAATTTGCATTTCTTCAGAAACCATTTTAACTAAAGTAAAGAAGAAAGGTTTAAACTTTCGTAAAAAAGACAAAGAAAATTGTTAATTGTTTCCATACAAACCTGTTCAAATAGTCAATATTTAAATCCAGAAAAAAATTTCTTTGTCACGTGTAATTAATTGTTTCAACATGAAAAAAACAAAGAATTCCGAACCCGGTTTTGATACTTTCTACATACCGGGTGGACCAAAAGTCAGTTAAACCACGCTTTATTTATTATTTCTCTTGTTATTAAACAGAGAATTGTTGCAAGTTTTGAAATTTAGAGGATATTTTAGAGGATAAGAATATATAAAAATACGAGGTAAATTGCCTGTCACAAATCCCCAGGCCAAAAATTCCGCGTGGGTGTCCAAATATATATATAAGTTCGCCCTAAAAACACGGAAGAATGACACACTTCAAACACATTCCATACGTTTTATAAATCATTTTTAGTGTTTTATTCAAAGAAATTGGGCCCGTTCGTTTGTCTATCTGCGGTTTTAGGAGTGACATGGCCAGATAGAAATATCAATTCTTCGAATAGATTTCACCTGTAGGCATGGAAACATTTAAATTTCCAGGAGGGGGAAAGTCATGATCTTACTTATCACGTACATCATCCATTATTCATGTATTAGCTAAGAATAAAATATTAAAAAAGAGAGGTTAATAAAGAATTCACGAGATAATATCCTATAAGGAAAAAAACCTTAAATGTCAATAAGTTGAACTTTAACTTTTCAAGAATAATAAAGAAGGGAAATACTTTTATCGTGAGTTACACTTTTACAGATGTTATTATATGTGAATTTCGTAATTCTAAGCAATATAGATGAAATCGGAAGTATTGAATTTACTCAGAGGTAAAGGAAAATAATATAAAATCAAATGAAAAGAGCAATTATTTATTGTGGAAATTTTAATTAATTTAAATTATATGTTCTCCACCTCAAATTAGTAGCGGCTTGTCCCTGTACATCATATTTTTCCTTTAGCAATAGAATCCTTCTACCCCTAAGGTTTCTATATCTGGTCTCGTCTTACATCCATCTAACTTCGTTCTCGAGATTAAGAAAAAACAGACAGACGGACGGACAGTGGGAATTTATAAATCTATAATTGTTTCAAATTGCAGTCCAACTACAAAATAAATTTTTAAAATTTAGATTCTAGTCTGAGATATTTTTATGATAAACTCATATACAGCGGAACCTCTAATAACGGCCCCTGCCTACAACGGCCAACTCTAAATGGCTGCCATTTTTTTCAGGAAATTTTTTGAGCAAGATGCATACAAAATAACCTACGAACAACGGCCATTTTTTAAATGTTCCAATCAATGGTCGTTATTTAGAGGTTCGATTATATATAAGAGGTTACAAGGTAATAATATAATTACTTATGGTGTCCGTCTTGAGAGTTGTTAAAACCGCATTCGTTACTGTATGTTTATATATTTACATCAAGATCGACAAGCGATTCTTTTCTTACAATACAGGAATCCCTTGTCAACCGCGATTCTACTAATAATTGAATTAATGAAAGTACTGTATTATTATTTAACCTTTTATTTCACTGACTCGTGCCAAATTTTTTTGTTAAACATAATCCCCTAGATAGCCAGAGATACTCATACTTCCAGCAATATTAGTATATTAAATAAAACAATACGTGCAGAAGACCCGTAGCTACGGGGGGCTGAGGTGGCTAAGACCCTTCAGCTTAGCTACTAATGCCCATATGCTTTAGGCCCTATATAATATAAGTAAACAGTAGCCTAAGTTTATGTGACAAAAGCTTTCGCTTTTGTCACATAAACTTAGGCTACTGTTTACTTATTTTCTCACAAACTGTAGCTGAAAGGCCTAGTGTTGGCTGGGCGGCTAGAGTGGTACAATTTTTCAGTTTGTCACTCTAGCACCCAATGGTTGCCACGGGACTGCGTGCAGACAAGTTGGCTGCTGCACATCACCAAGAGGGCATTTTTTAGTAAGTCTATTATGGGTTCGACCTGGCCCACAATGGGGAGACGGGCCGATATATCCGGACCACCATTAGGTCTAAGTTTCCATCAAGTAAATTGGTACAGTACGTCAATTCTAGGAACCATTTGCAAAGTTAGAGTGGTAAACTTTCAACCAAATTATAAGAAAAAACACGATTGGAAGTAGTAAAATTCTTTAGTAAACTACTAAAGAGTTTTACTCAGTCGCAGCAGTATAATGTCACGTTATCCTAAGGGCAAAAAGGTCAATTGCCGAGGCTCCACCAACAGAGTCCCAGACCTCTTATAAGAAAATATTTTTCCAAAATAATTTCCCGAAGAAAAATATTTGAAGCCAAAACTGTACGTGAGGCCCCCTAATTCAAATTTGCCTGGTCCTATGAAGCTGCATCGCGCTAATGCAGCAGTAGTGAAAATGATGGCACAAGATAAGCTTCCATGAAATCGAAGTAATAAAAGACCCACTTCGTCCCCATTCAGAACAGAGATTTCACTTTTCTCTTATGACACAAATTTAAAAAAGATTAATAAAAAGAAAAACCAAGAAAGTTTTGATTTATATGTTAATTATGAGGTTGCGGCTAAAATTACCACAGTGTTTTCATTAGAATCCAGGTGCAACACTCATTCCCAGCGAACATTAGCCTTATCTCTTTCCAGGTGTTCTTAGTACTTTATTCAATAGAAAGGAATTTACCTAGTGTTATTGGAAATAATAGTAGGTAAATTCTTTTCCATTGAACTCACTACTCATTTGGGGTGTGTGAGAAGAACTATCAGGAAAGTTGCACCGATAGTCTATTTATGAATGCTTATTTCTCTCTTTGCTCATCATCAAGAATAATTTTAGGAAGTTAAAAAATGGCAAATTTTAATAATATTAGCAATTTCCACTTGATAAATTTCCGAGATTTCGATATAAAGTTCTGCATCTTTGTCACTAAACTAAGGTTTCCTGTTCAGGTAATTTTTCCTCGTACAAGATATTAATTAATGTTCACAGAGCAAAAACAGACAAAAAGAAAAAAGAAATTAATGGACAAAACATTAGTATAGTTTCGAAAGATGTAAAACTTCGGGTGATTTGTAAGCACTGAACGGCAGTTGATCGTGGGATCGAGGGCCAGGCCAACGAGCTGGCCACAATGGAGTTTTCCAGGTTTTCTTCACGTTTGTAACACCTAAATGGGGGACAATTTTCCATAAAAGTCCTCCCGGGAGGCATCCCACCTCGGCAGATTGTCGCGTGTCGTAACCAAATAAACTAAACCGAAATGATTCTCATATTTACTAAAACTTGGAGTAAACTGCAATATGAGGCACGTAATCTTAAAACCGTTGAACGCTCTGACAGTTGGTCGTGGGTTCACGCCCGACTAACGTGAAAATTTTCGAGTTTTCTTCACTTGTTAACACCTAAATACCTCGTAAGCCAGTTTTCATAGAAAGTCCTTCCGAGAGGTACTTTGTTCTGATGTTGCTTTGCCTTATCCAACTCTTCACACCACATATTCATATCTTATTTTAATTTTCAAATGTACAATTTTGTATTATTTTACACCTTAAAGCTACATTATAACAGATGTTATTATTATTATTATCATCTTCGGGTTGTTGTTATTACTTTGAAAAATATTTTTGTTAATATTTGTTCGATGATATATTTTTATTTATATTTTCTTTAAATTATTATTACTATATTAAATAATAATTATTTTATATATATCATTTGCAGTATAAACTATTAAAGTTGGTATAAGTTTAAATTAGAATTTCATATTTTTCCATGCGATTTATTTTATGTAAGTATTAGTTTAAGTGGGACTTTTAAAGGTCCTCGTGGGCTCCGTCAGGCCCACAATGGGCAATTGAATAGTAAGGGACGAAGCCCGATATATCCGGGACGGATTGTCCATGAAAAATTTCTGGGATGTTTCAATGGATTCGCCTTCGGATCCCCCAGAGCGGTAGGCTAACATCTTAACCGCCTCGATTATCCGGCCTTTTTTTTACCTTAAAAAATATGAATATACGTGAAAAGAAAATTAAAAACAAGAGAGATCAATTCAAGTCTGATTCAAAATTTAAAAAGAACTCGGAAGTTAAAATGCGAATTATTCATAATACAATAGTCACAATACGTAAATTTCCTAGTGTTTGATAATACACTTTCGAAACTTTTCACTAAAATTGTTTTGACTCCAAAGTATTAAAACTGTTTGGAATCTTCGTGCAACACGACTAGAAATTTCCGAAATGATATCAATGCAACATAAATTATTATCATCTCAGTCCTTTTAATGCATTACAGGCAATTGATAGAATAGGAAAAGGCCAGACAGATGCCAACATATCTAGTTTATGAAGAAGATTTCGAGAGTTAACATCTCCTATAGACCAGTTCGAGTTCACCCAATATACCCAATAGCGTACAATTCTTGAGGTGATCTTGAATTGATCTATACCTGACGATGATTGATCCTAACTCCATACGTCATAAAAGATGTCAACAATTCTGCTTAACAATGATTCGTGCTGAGGGGTCAGCACGAATCATTGTTATGCAGCGTTTATGTTCATAACGAACGGCCACGAACTGTGTACTTTTTCCTACTCCAATTACTATTTTTAAAACTAAATGTCATTTATTTAAGTTTTGCAATAAATATTTATATATTTTGAAACAAATTAGATATTTTGTTTATTTATATAACGTTTATTGAATCATACTATAGACAAACAACTTCATACACATCAACAAACAACGTAGGCCGGATGATCGAACGGTCAAGGTGGCAGCCTACCACCTCTTTGAGGACCCGGGTTCAAAATTTCATGTGCTGACCCCATCCCTCACCGCCTAGCCGAACTCATAATGGGTCTGCTAAAAGAAGTCCTCTTAGTGTCCGGAAAGAGTTAAAAAAAACATTCGTGTATATCAAAGTACGTTTGTTCCTCAACTTTGGCCGCAATTTCTCATATAATAATATAAAAACTGA